TTGTATAGCCAAAGCCACTGAAACTGTAAAACCAGGCTCTGAGATGAAGAAGCTGCAATTTTGGTTTGGGATGTTCGTTTTATAAGCCTTATTCCATTGGTTTTCGTAGTGTCAGTGACTTTGGGAACTGTCAGGATGTTTCTCGAGTTCTATTTGTTTTCTTCCGAAATGGAAGAACTTCTGTCATTTTGGTCTGGGTGTAGTGACTACCCCAATTTATCAGAACTCTCCGCTCAATTTCCAGTTTCTTGACCGTTTTGAATATAAATTGGCATTGGGCCGTGGAAATATTTACTCTCGTAGGTGAGGTGCAATGGAGACGAATGATAAAGAGAACTTCGACCTCAGTGCGATGTCGGCTGAGACACATGAAATCGCTGAATCAACGTCGAAGATGAAGAAGCCCTATTTAATAGTGAGTTCTTGATGCTTGCCTTTTCTTTTTCTTTTGCTTAGATCTTTGAAATGCGAGTTTCTAGAAATCACCTCCCAAATCCTGATGTTTACAGTCTGACGAAGATGTTCCATATGAAGAAGATATTCTGAAAAACCCAACATCACTACGCAGTTGGCAGCGATATATAGATCACAAGAAAAAAAGTAATGCGCCATGGAGGCAAACTTGTCAAGTGAGTGTTTCTCCTCAGAATCTTGGAAGCATAACCTTTGAATCACATCATTAGTTTTCCTTATATTCCATATCTTCTTTCATAGCAAAGACACTTTCCATTGTCGCGGTCGTAAAATCTTTGGGTACATCAGGAGATTTTGCCTTCTATTCCCGAGGTTTTGTGCACAAGTAAGACTAAAACTTAACTTCAGATCTACGAGCGAGCCTTGAAAGTGTTTGATCGCAGTTATAAATTATGGTATAACTACCTACGTTTTCGACAACGCGTCATTGCTCACAAGGCACCAACGGACATCTCTTGGTCTCATTTATGTGACGCTTACGAGCGTTGTCTTATTCACATGCACAAGGTAATTTTTTCATTCTGGCTCAATTCTCAATTTTTGCGCCCCATGCTCGTTAGTCCTGGGCTAACGTTATTCGACTTCTGACTTGAACACTTTTGAAATTTCAATACCAGAGTGAAGAAAAATTGCTTGAGAAAACTTCCCTTAACCGCGTGCTCAAGCTTGGCACTACCAATTTGGGATAGTGTGGCCTCTCTTCTCATTTTAAAAAGGGATAAACCCGTCAACTATGTTTCATTAAGATGCCTCGAATATGGATGGACTACTGCACAGTGATGACTAAGAGGCGAGTGATCACTGATTGCCGTCGTGTTTTTGATAGGTTTGTATTCCTCTATTTCCCATTTCCTTGAGCTCATGGAAGAGATTTAATTATGGTATGCATACTTTAGGGCGCTACGAGCACTGCCTGTGACGCAGCATTTGCGAATTTGGCCGCTTTACATCAAATTTGTTACCAGTCATGACATCCCAGAAACCTGCATACGAGTTTACAGGAGGTAAAATTAATTGGCCTTTAACCTCTTGAAGGGAAACGTTTCTTTTTTTGCAACTGGATGATCATCATCTTCTTCCGCTCAGGTATCTGAAGTTGAACCCTCGTGGCCGAGAGGACTTTGTCGAATATCTTATAAAGATCGATCAGCTGGATGAAGCAGCACGACAACTGGTGACTCTCGTAAACGAGGATATGCCAGTGTCAGACAAGGGAAAAACGGTCCACCAGGTACAGTCCTACTTTGATTTCAAGTTCTTTCTTGTGGCGTTGTCATCTCAGTTGAATATGAGACGCTTTTCAGCTATGGGCGGAACTCTGCGAACTGATTTCAAAAAATCCAAAGAAGGTGCATTCATTGGATGTGAACGTGATTATGAGACAGGGTATTCAGAAGTACTCTGACCAGGTTTGTGATTAAGTTGTGCTTTTGAACTGTTTGAAATATGTTATCCGTTAAACTGTCTTCTTCTGTCTTTCTATGTACTTTGTGTTGCAAGTAATTAGTTTAATAAAAAAGACGGCTTTCTCGGAGGCGTTGTCTCATGAAAGGAGGGCGAGAACTGTGCCAACAAGCTTACCCGTTTTTTTCATTCTGTTGAAATCGGTGCTACTTGCAGGTTGGCGTGCTTTGGTGCTCCTTTGCTGAATACTACATCAGAGCTGGACAGTTCGAAAGGGTAAGTTCACCATTTCGTTTCTAGTGATTCTCTTAAGATGACAAGATGCCAACTTGTTGGTTTACATTTGTTGCTACCTACTCCTATTCAGGCGCGAGATATCTATGAAGAAGCTATGATCTCTGTGAAGACTGTGCGCGACTTCACCCAAATTTTCGACGCCTACGCTGCTTTTGAGGAGCGAAATACCGCGGCAAGGATGGACAACCTTGCTGAGCCGCCGAACGAAGAAGATGAGCTAGAACTCGAGTGGCTTTTTGCGAGGTGTGCACGAACATTTCCTTGATTTTATATATTTTCTGCAAAACTCCTTTCAGATTTGAGCATCTGATGGCTCGTCGACCGCTGTTGCTAAACAGCGTATTGCTCCGACAGAATCCGCATAATGTTCACGAGTGGCTCAATAGAGTTGCTTTATATGAAGGACATCCCGAAAAGGTCAGTCGAGACTATAGGGCCTCAAAATATTTGATTTGATCTAGCTGGTTTACAGTGTTCTTCTCTTTTCTTTTTCTGTTTACTCTCATAGCATGCGCCTTCGCTTTCAAAATCCATGACTCCAAGTACTTTGCTTAGAAGAGTTTGCTTTGGACCTTTGTCGTTCATGTGTCTTGGTTTCATTCCTGCTTTACTCCAATTTTTGTACTTTCGTAAAGGTTGCTGCAGCCAGTGATAGTGTTTTCAAATTATCTTATTTTTCAGCAAATCGATACTTACTTGGAAGGCGTTCGTACAGTAAAGCCGAAGATGCAAGTAGGAAAACTATGTTCCCTGTGGATTTCGTTTGCGAAATTCTATGAGAACGCTGATCAGTTGGATGATGTAGGTTGTCACCGAGTGCTTCAATATTTTTCTGCAACATGAGTGGCTCAATAGAGTTGCTTTTATATGAAGGACATCCCGAAAAGGTCGGTTCGAGGCCTATTAAGGGCTAAAATATTAGGTTGTCTCATAAACAGTGTCGCTTTTTTTCAACCAAAAAATTTTCATCCAAATCCTCATGCTTTTACATCGAATCATATACCATTCGAAAGAGAATTGTCTGCTCTACAAAATATCGTGTTCTTCTTCCATCTATGTTCCATGGTTTTCAAATTTTAGGCCTGCGAAATGGGAGGTCCCGCCGACAAAAATTGACCAAACCGACAACTAGCTCTAACTTTATGTTCCCTTCGGAGAAATCAATCAATGATGTACCCTCTACTTACTCATGACCTCTTCTGAACATTCCACCCTTAGGTTGCCGAAAAAGGTTTGCCCTGTTTCTTTTCGAATTGGCCGACCGATAAGCCATGGCAATTTTCAAATTGAAATTCTTCCTCTGAAACGCTATTGTTTTATATCAACTGGTGTATCTTTTGTGAGCACTTCTTCTGCTTTATTCGCTCATTTGTTTTTGTTTTGATGTTTGTTAGGAATTAGCTCGAATTTTAGGGTTTAGGAGTAAGGTGCTTTGTCCACGAAAGTGACCGCATTTCTTTGAAAAAAATTATCCCTGAGAAGATGAGAAAATCAACCAGGCGTACATTCCTAACTTAGTCATGACTTGTTCTTTGAAATTCTACTAGTTTTTCAATGTCTCGGCTATAAAAAAATTTCGACCTCGATCTCAGGTAATGGTGCTCAACCGTCGAGTTCTGGTTGAAAAACCAGGTCTGGAAATGGAATGACGCGACTTGTTGGGAAACCTAATAGTGTAATGTTTAGAAGAGGTCATGCATAAGTAGAGGGTACATCATTGATTGATTTCTCCGAAGGGAACATAAAGTTAGAGCTAGTTGTCGGTTTGGTCAATTTTTGTCGGCGGGACCTCCCATTTCGCATGCCTCAAATTTGAAAACCATTGAACATAGATGGAAGAAGAACACGATATTTGTAGAGCAGACAATTCTCTTTCGAATGGTATATAACTCTCTGTAAAAGCATGGGATTTAGATGAAAATTTTTTGGTTGAAAAAAAGCGACACTATTTATGAGACAACCTAATATTTGATTTATCTAGCTGGTTTACAGTGTTCTTCTCTTTTCTTTTTCTGCTTTACTCTCGTAGCATGCGCCTTCGCTTTCAAAATCCATGACTCCAAGTACTTTGCTTAGAAGAGTTTGCTTTGGACCTTTGTCGTTCATGTGTCTTGGTTTCATTCCTGCTTTACTCCAATTTTTATACTTTCGTAAAGGTTGCTGCAGCCAGTGATAGTGTTTTCAAATTATCTTATTTTTTTTTCAGCAAATCGATACTTACTTGGAAGGCGTTCGTACAGTAAAGCCGAAGATGCAAGTAGGAAAACTATGTTCCCTGTGGATTTCGTTTGCGAAATTCTATGAGAACGCTGATCAGTTGGATGATGTAGGTTGTCACGGAGTGCTTCAATATATTTTCCGGCAAATGTACTTGGTTGCAAACATCACGAGTGGTGGTTGCAGGCTCGGAGCATTTTCGAAAAAGCGACGCAAATTCCTTACGCGAAGGTGGATGAGCTGGCCACAGTATGGTGTGAGTATGCCGAGTTGGAGTTGCGACACAAGTTAGTAACTAAATTATGTTCATTTCGTTGGGTTTCACATTCTTGCATGCGAATTTCTTGAAGTTCTTTTTTCGAACTTTTTTTTTCACCGGTAAGGTTGAATATGTAAAAGGTAAAACAATTTTCATTGTTTGACCAGAAGCGGTTTGGATCATCCCTTATCATTAGCCGGAAAGGGAAATGAGCCAAACTGAGAAAATGTGCTGGAGCTCACAGCTTCAGCTAAACACGTATTAAATGATACCAAGAAATGTCATCCTCTTTAACCTTTGCCTCAGCTCACAGTTTTAGGGCAAATTCATCTCCACCCTCCTCAGAACTTTCATAGCTTGTTCCATATGAGTGTTTTTTTTTATTAATTCGTTAGATCTCTTTTTACCAGCCTACAATTGCTTTCAATTGCTTTTTTCCCCGTTTTTCTAAGGAATGTGCCGTTTGGAGGATTGCTTCTCTCAATCGAATTATTTAAAGCACTGTAAGGCTGCGGAAGTTTTCTGCAGGAAACTCAAAAGAGTCCTAACAAGGAATTCTTTAGAATTTTTTCTACGATTTCCGAACTTTTGGCTCGTAACAGTTATTTTTTCAATGGTTCACATTTTTGTTTGGTGTGGTTTGTTGCTGAGCGGACAACTTTTTTTTTTAATCATTTTCAGATCATCCGATCGTGCTATTACTGTTTTGCGGCGCGCTTGCGCTCCTCCACCACGCAAAACAAATTACTTCGATGAAACTGAGACCGTTCAAACCAGAGTTCATAAAAGTCTCCGAGTATGGTCAATGTATGCGGATCTCGAGGAGAGCTTCGGAACGGTGAGGAATTTGTCTTGTCAGGATTCTTTCACACAGAGGTAAAATGCCATCGTGTATTGGGGATTTGTACGTATTGACTTGCATTCGTAAGCGGATATTCGACGATATGGGCTGTTTGAAACAGAGTTCTTTCAAGATTGATTCGTGCAGAGCTGTGTACGACCGTATTCTTGATCTTCGGATAGCAACACCTCAAATAGTCATCAATTATGCGATGTTTTTGGAAGAGCACGACTACTACGAGTATGCCTTTAAGGTATGTCCACAGTTGACCTTCAAACTGTATATACAAATCTTTTTACTAGAAGCTGTAGATAGGGCAGATATGTATTCGGTAAGCTTTTGCTCCATGATTTTGATATTTTTCCAAGTGCTCGATTATGTTTCAGTCCAGTTCGAAATTATACTCATTTAGCCTTTTCCGTCGAAATTTTAGCAAATTTTCGATGGAAAACGTTTTCTATTTAGATCGTGCAAGTTTTAGTAGGGATGTTTCACATTTAGGTTTCAGTATATGAACGGTTTTTTGAAATTGTGACATTTCAGGTGTTCAATATTTATATCAAGAAAGCGCAAGAACTTTATGGACTGCCTCACACGCGACCAATCTACGAACATGCCATTAGCGTTCTTCCAGAAGATTCCTCTAGGTCATTCTTATTTTTGAGCTGGATAGAAGGGGTTCAGAGGATTTCAAGTCTCAAAAACAGACTTCAGCACTGGATTGCAAATCGTTTTTGTTTCAGGGAGTTAAGTTTGCGATACGCGCAAATGGAGCGAACACTTGGTGAGATTGACCGTGCTCGTGCAATATTTGCGCATGCTTCAGAGATATGTGATCCGAAGGTATTGTACTTATTCGAACCTTCATACATTCTCCGTTTTTTTATCTTCTGTAGTTCTACTGAACTTATGAAACAATGAACGTAGGTGGACTCATGGACCTTCCTCAGGCTGCGTAATGTTTACCCTATATTTGTACGATGTCAGGTTTACTGCTGGAATTTCTAGATCCATGGCCAATTCTGGGATACATGGATGGACTTCGAGGTGAAACACGGTAATGAGGACACACTCCGTGAAATGCTGAGAATCAAACGATCAGTACAGCAGACGTATAACACGAGCGTGAAGCATATGTCGGCGCAAATGATTGCAGCTGGTGCCGCGAAGGTATGCTGGAGTGTATATTTCCTTGATTCTGCGATTCTAAGTATTCTTTTTAGTCTGCGGAAGAGATCAAATCAACGAATGCGATGCAGCTGCTGGATAAGCAGGTTTGTGTTTGCCTATTTTCTGCATGTTTTATTCATCGTTTTTCAATATGTTGGTATTTTGCCACCTCTACGTTTGTGAATTTTGCACTACATCGCACCCGATTGCCCGACTGTCATTTACAAGTTTCAGTCGGATAAGCCGTCTGGTAACATCACCTTCGTTCGAGGTGCAAGCAAAACCACCCAAATGGATACTACGGAAAATCCTGATGAGATCAATATTGATGACGACGATGAGGATGATGACATTGCTCGTGAGTTTTGACATTATTGACAGCTGGGTCCGTATACGCCCTACGGGTGAGCATGCACGGCTCATTTACCTGGTTTCCTCCATTGCCTCCGTGTATCGCGTGCGTTACACATCGCTTCAACCCATTCACACTTCACGATTTCGAGAAGTAGAATAGGCGCTAATGAAAGGATATGTATAAATTGGGTAGTTAGATGGATGAAAGTGTGAGTTCTGGATGAAGTATGAAGTGATGAATGACAGAAGGTAATGGAGGTCCATCCAGATCGACATTTGTAAGGGCTTCGAGAACGGCATGACGCTAATACATTAATAAAATCTTATTGAGAATCCCTGCTATAAGCTGAACTATTCCGAATCTCAACCTCATATTCTCGAATAAGAATCTTTCGACCATTACGTATTATCGTTTCTTGGATCTCCTATTCTCCTAATCTCCTGTCGCATATTTTTCAATCCCTTTAAACCTGGGGTAATTGCGTCTAGGAAGACCTGACTTTCTTCACTAGTGCAATAAGATCTGAAAGGCATAGAAGCTTGCTCGACGTTTACTGCGACCTAAGCTTAGATCTGGATCTTCCGTGTTGTCTTGATTTTTCAAAGTTAAGCCATTATCATTTTCCGTCGCCTACCCAATTTTTTCAGCCATTGAAACACATACGGTACCAGCTGCTGTGTTTGGTGACTTGAAGCGGCCAGATCAAGAAGAAACGTGACATTGTCGTTATGCTGTGATTGTAGAGTTCCAGATGTTGATTCTGATTTTCGTTACGTTGTCATGATCTACCGTTACCTACCTTAATAAATTTTAATTGTAAACTATTTGTCAATTGGACTAATGGAGTAGAAGACGCCATATGTTGGCTACCTGTTCGGAGTAATCAAACGCAAACTTTGGCATACTGGAACTTCGCAGTTAGCGGTGCAGGTTCAGTCTCCTCGAAATCATGAAGACATGTCAATTCCTTCATGAATTTGAGAATTGATGGGTACGTGACGTGCCTGTCATTACTGGCGAGCTGCGGTAGCGTGCATTTCACTTCTTTTTATTTATCTACATTTTTATTTATTTGGGTAGACAGGTGTCGATAATTATCGAAGCTTAATTTCGCATACAGATACAGGTTGCTATCAGTCATGTGATGCCACGGAGATGAGAGGCTTCATTGGCTTGGACATTACTCGCTTCGGGAAAAGTGTGGTGTGCTGTCTGGCGCCACGACAATTTCGCTGTCGAGGTACAGTAAGTCATACATATGCTTTTTCGCATGCTGTGTCGGTTTT